ACTGTAGGATCGGTATCGCCCAGCAGCCCGGTGCCTGAATATGCCCCAAGTGCACCAGAAGAAATACCTCCTGCAGAAGTCTTTGAGAGGCCTCTTAAAACTTTTATTGGAACTATTTTTTGTATCCCTCCACCTGTGGAGCAAGGCATCTTTAGTACGTTCAGCGCTCAGCAGGAGAGGAAAATTATAACTGATCCATTTCAGAAACCTCTAAAAATGACCTAGAATAACTTTTCTATATATAAAAATGCCATGATTTTAATGTCCATTATCTCATGACCTAGTAGGGCTAGGAAAAGCTATTGTAGATCATTCTTAGTGGTTTCTAAAATGGATTGGTCACACTTTCCCCCTGCGCAGTGGGACACAGGGTACAAGGACAACTGGGCTTTAGAGATGGGGAGGGAGACAAAAATCTATGTCTGTGCTGATGCATCCAGAGCTGTTTCATTCTCGAGGACCACTTGTTGTGCTTTCCCCAGCTGAGCAGAGATGCTGGAGCTGGTCAAGTGACAGCTATTTCCAACAAGCTGGAGAGACAGTGGTCAAATAGATGCAAAGCGTGGGGTACCGTGTGGTGGGAAAGCCAACCTTGTCTCTGCCACCGGTCTTCTGTGGGGTCTGCAGAGACCGTGACTCTGGCAGCAGCTTTCTCTGCCTGTCACAGCTCCAGATTTTGCTGGAGCATCACACAACTTGCAAGCAGCGTGCCCAGGCAGGACATGTCTGGCTCTGGTGCAGCCTTTCATCCCCTTGCCCTGAGCTTTTGCAGCAAGGCTGGTTGCAGCCCAAGCCGATGGGAAGCCGCCACAGCCGGGCATTAAACACGCCGGGTTTGCAGAGAGGACATCAGCAGAGCGCGTGGGAGAAGTGGCTTCCTACCATGCGAGAGGTTAATAGACAGATTAGAGAGGGCAGGCACTGTTTGCGGTGAAAGGAAAGGAGCTCTGCCTTTACAGAGCTCAGCAGCTCCATGAGGCGACAGGGAAGTAAATATTTGCAAGGATTAGGGAGGCTGCGTGCAGGAGCCCAGGGAGGAGCGCCCGTGCAGGGGCAATGTGTTGCTTGGGGTGGTTTTGGGGTCAGACAGGGGCTGAGAGCTGGACATCAACTGGGGGAGGATGGAGGAGGTTGGAGCCGGACACCCCGCACCCAGAGGCACTGCCCAAAGCCTCAGGGCAGAAAAAGCCTTTGATGTTCCCTTGATGGCTTTGTTTTCTTCGGCTGCTTTTCTTGCTCTCTTGCTCTCTCCATCGGCCCGACAGGCTGGCCCACCTCCAAAGACAGCATTACAGAGCGCCGGATCGATTGGAGCCTGCAATTCTATTTGCTCTCTTTAAGAGCCTTTGATGGGCAGGATGAGCTGTGCCGGCGAGCATCTTTCCTGGGAGAGGAGGGGAGAGGAATGGGGTTGCAAGTCACCATCTCCCATAGGGAGATGGGGACCCCACCACCAGCTTGGAGAAGACATCGTGGCAGGGTGGGCAAAGACAGCCCTCCCAATGCACCATGGCAGCTGAGAAGGGGCTTGCAGCCCCCTACTTCATGGCACTTGACAGTCATGGACACGGTCACCTGCATGGTGTCATGGTCACAGACCCAAGTGGCACATTGCACTGGCCCTGCACTCTCCTGTGGGGTGGCCTTTCTGTTCATCAAGGTGGGGAAAGTGGGGCAGTTGCATGACATCCCCCTCCCAAAACACCTGCGGCTCTGGGACTGATGGCTCTTTGGAGAGATGGAGGTGGCAGGAGTGTCCTCATGAGACGACTTGTCCCTGCCCAGAAAGAGTGGGTAGCGGCTGGGGTGAGACAGGCTGCATACAGCAGCATCCCTTCAGCTGCAGTGGGCTGAGGATGCTGCATGGGCATCAGGGTGGCAAAGATACGAGGGTCATTTTGTCCCCCTTCTCCAGGCTCTCCTTCCACCTCTGGCTTGCTGAAAGAGACTGAAAGGTGGAGGATGGTGTGGGACCAGAGGATAAGGGCTGCATTTGGGGCCCTGATCTTGGAGCAGAGGACAAGATCTTCAAGGCATTCAAGACTGTGAAAAAGAGGCGTCTTCAAAGGCTGCTGCAGAGTCAGCGTGGAAGTGGGAGGCAGTTTGGGCAGCCCTCATTCTCCCAGGAAGGCAAACCTGGAGGCACAAGCCCACTCCATCTTCCTTGGTGGAGGAATTAGCACAGATCACCAACAGCCGTATCTGGCATAATACTGGAGACAACGGAGATAAATTATCCTCAGATGGACTAATTGCAGCTCAGTCGCCGTGCAGCATCTGGGGCCATACTGGTAGGGCAGGGACCGTGCGGGACTTCCAGGGATGCTCACCAAAGCCTGGGCTGCCTCTGCCGGGCTTCCCGGCTGGCTCCCGGTGTCATGCAGGACAGATCAGCACAGGCAGCAAGTGGACGAGAGGCCCACGGTAGCATCCCCAGCATCATCCTCCTTCCCGCCCTCCCCACCCAATATTTGCAGCCCCCAGCCAAACCGCCCCCCTGCCGTTAGCCCACACTGCCACCGCGCGGTCGCTCAGACCCCAAAGACTGTCCCTAAATCCTCTGCACCCCTTCAGCTCCTCCGTAACACCTCTCGAGAGTCGTCAATCCCCGCTTCATTTCGCCCTGCAAAGGGCAATGCTACCTTGCCTTTGCTCCCACCTCACCCCGGGGGCAGCTGTGGGGCAGGGAAAGGGTTAAGGAGCCGGTGAGGAGGAGGATGGAGCTGTAGCAGGGATCAGGCCCTTGTCTCTGGCCTTGCGATTAGCCACTCTGTTTTGCTGCAGAGGGTCTGCTTGAATAATTTAGCTGGGAAGCTCATTAACCAGGCTCTGGCCTTCGTCTGCTGGCTGAAGGCTGAAATAGCTATTAGGAGGATCACGCGTGGCGGAGCCTCTCTTCCCTGCCAGCTCCCTCCCTTCCCTCTCCCTCTCATTCTCCCTCTCCTTGCTCCCTGCTCACTGACTCTGCTGCCCTTGGCTCTATTATCATTTGCTTGCTCCCTCTCCAGCCCTGCTCCAGGAGTGCCAGTGTGCATGCAATCCCTGTGCCTCAGTTTCCCCTATGTACACTGCCATAGAGTGCTGCAGCTGGAGCTCATGGCATCCCCCCCAGAAAACTTTTCT